AACATAGTTCTGGGATCTGGGCAGGTGGTGGTGGGGATGGACATGGGCCTTCAAGACATGTGTGTTGGGGAACGACGAACCGTCGTTATTCCACCTCATCTTGGTTATGGAGAAGATGGAGTTGGTAAGTGAATGAAACCTCTTGTTCCTCCACTTAGCACCTCTCGAGTAACTGAAACACAAGGATGCATGTTTTGTTACTTGCTATGTGTGAGGACGTCAGGTGAGTGTCTCTTAGCTGCTTGAATGGGACTGGTTTAGAGTTTTTTATTTCATTATTGTAGACAACCCCCCATTCCCCAATGAAATGAATGTACCGCCTGTGGTGCGTTTTAAGTCGTACTGTTACTGTGGCCAGTATAAAGACTGTCCCAGTACAAAAGGGAACACGTGACCCCAGTAATGTTGTGTTGTCAAAACGGAAAGCTCCAGGCACTCTGGTGTTGCCGAGGGCGTGTGTGATAGGGAATCGGGTTCTCCCGCTTGGACACGCGGCATGTTGTTCGGGAAACAAAACTGAAGGGGACTGTTCGGCACTAAGATGTTAGCAAATTCAAAGAAAACTCAAAATTCAGAATAAACTGAATGTGAGATGTGAACTGTGCATCAGTGCCATTGAAACCCCAACAATAATACATTTAAAGCAGTTTGCCCTGTTTTAGAGCACTGAGGCTTATCAGTTGACAGAGACAACAGTATTAAAAGGAACAGTACGGAAGTGACAGAAACTCTCATATTCCAGTGTGTGTGGTTGTTACTGGTCTTCCGAGCTAAAAGGCTTGGGGGAAGGAAGTCTATCAGGAGGTCACCAAGATCAGCCAACTCTGATTTATATGGAAACAGTTGTGTAAGTTGCTGTGTTCTTTGAGTGCCTCCAGATCAGTTTGTATGTTTTAAAGACGGTCTGTCAAGCGCTGCGTGTCGAGCTTAATGGAAAATTAATTTGCGATAAGAGATAAAGAAGCATTTTCACTTGCACCTGGCTTCCACAAAAATTATGAATGAAAAATGATGAGTATTATCAATATGCAACATTTTATACTGTTATACATAGCTGCATAGTTATGTATATAGATGACCTCTAGGGGTCCCTTCCAACCCGAAACATTCTATGATTCTATGATATAATAAATAAAAAAATTCCTCACGAAATAAAAAAAAATCTGATGTGTTAAAAAAACGTTATCAACGTACCTGTCATAGGTATTTGCCATCATTCAAATTAAGTCGATATGTGTGGTCTGAAACACTGCTCGATTGTTAGTGTTTTGGTATATACCCGGATATCTGAGGAGATTGCTCGCTTGCTGCTGGACAGAAGTTAGAGGTGACCTCGATTTTCTTTTTCAAGGATAAATTAAACTCCTTCCATGGGGTCACTGAGGTGACATCCCAAGCTGTTGCAACACTGTTGAGTCTGTCAGTAGCAGCTTGATGCACAGCATATCGATGAGATAAAGGAAAATGAATTCATTCCTGCAGTTTTACCTTTATAAGTACAAAAATGGCTGCAGTTTTATTATGAAAGCTTCCTTTGTGTTTTGATCACCTCTGCTGAAGTGAACAGGAAGGTTTGGTGGGCTTGGGGATCAGAGTACAGACCCTGTTGGAGCAGGAAGAGAAATTTAATTGTGGATTAAAAAGAAATGTACTCGTCAGTGTAAGTGAAGATAAATACCCCTCTCTGCCATTTTTTGTGACAGAAGGAGAAGTGCCTGGTAGCGCTGTGTTAGTTTTCGACATCGAACTGCTGGAACTGGTGTCTGGCTTGCCTGAAGGGTACATGTTTGTCTGGAATGGTGAAGTCTCTCCCAATCTTTTTGAAGAAATAGACCAGAATCATGATGGAGAGGTTCTTTTGGAGGAGGTAAGCTGAAACAGTGAAAACACTTGCAGTAGTTTTCTTCGACCACTGTCGTCAAGTTACTTGGATGTTGAAGAACGGGGTCATCTCTCCTCTTCTTTTTTCTCACACGGTGTTTGTTGTCAAGTTAAGAGGAAGGCGGCGTGTCAGTTAAAACACGATGATTTAGCTTTCGAGACAGAACCGAAAAGAAATATAAAAATGGCCATGCTACTTAAGACCATTTACTATTGTGGCCTCCTTCGTCAACAACGGATAACTTAGGGTAGAGGTGTAAGAGGCAGAGTTCGTATTCAAAGGTCTTCTGCTGCATCAGCCTTTGCAGTGTCTGTTAATTGGGGGTTTATGGTGAATTCTTGAGCCTGCAGCAGCGCACCCAGGAACTGTCTATCCACTTTCGGAGCCTGGCAGTGCCTGCGGCTGCTCCTTCTGCAGGCGAATTGTTTGCTGAGTGAAGAAGTCCTTCCCCTTGCTTGCTTTTAACATCTGCAGTGTGAGACTTGGGTGCCCTATTTGAAAGCCTCGTGCCTTTGCCACACCATCTCTGTTAATATAAACCTATGTGAGCTTTTCTGCTGCATTTTCTCCTAACTGAGGAGTTCTATTTTTTATTCTCTACTTCAGTCGCCTTTGTTGCCTTTCTCTATCATTCTGGTTTCTGTCCTTGCTTGTTGGAGCAGTGCTGCCTTCAGCTCTCAAGGGTTCAGGCTGTGGACCTATGGAACAGCACGAGATGCCTTCCAGCATTTTAACAAACCAGTGCGGTAAAATCAAAATTTTGTTTTCCCTTTTCCTGGCACTCTCTTCCGCCTCTTTGTTTTCCTTCTTTCTCCATCTTCTCTCATCTGTTTACTTCCACTTCTGCCCTCGCAGAGAAGAAAAGAGCTTTTGTCAGATCTAGAGGATGAATGAGGTGGGGTGGGACTGTTGATGCCTACATCCTTCAGGTCACCTAGCAAGGAGGAGAAGGAGAAGCCAAGGAGATACAAGAGGATGCTTGGCCTAGAAGGTTTAAAAGAATGCCAGAAATAGCGCTCTCTGCTGAAGCTTGTTTAACGAGCAGCACCAGAGATAACAGTAATTGGAACAGTTGTGTTTGATTGTGGATTTTCTAGTTTTGGCAAGCCAGCAGTATGACTTCTGTCAGATATTGCCTAATTGCCTTGAAAAACTTCATCACACCTATCAGGAAAAGGATTTTTAGGGAAGAGTAACCTTGTAACCTTGCAACCTTTTCATCCCTCTTTCCCCTTCCTCCACCAAAGTCATGGGAGTGGAGTAGCAGGCTAGCGCCTGAAGCTACTGTAACAAATCTCATGGTGTCCTGATACTTAAAGTCTCATTTCTGTGTTTCATTCTTCTTTCTTCTGTGTTGTTTTTTGTAAGATGCAGGTAGACATCTGTTTTACAGTGCAAGCTTCTTGTATCAGCATGATACAAACCCCCTCCCTCAATATTGATCTGTTCTAAGTTGCGCTCTGTTCAACTCATCTTCCCCCTAAATTAGGAAAAAGAACTTTTCTTGTTAGGAGTCCAGGACACACTGGAGTAAGTGAGGAAATCCCTGTTGAGCTCCAGAATGAGTGATTTAACCTCATGGGTCTGTCCTAATTAGTGCAGCTTAGGTAGTAACAGGGTACTTTTACTTACACTTAATAGTAAGTAGCAAAATGCTGAATAGTCAAAACAAACAAATGCTACTTTTGTAAAATACCTCTC